ATGGTTAAGACCAAATTAAAGCAAGACCTATATTGCAAGAAATGGAACTTTTGTATGTGACAAGGTCAGTCAAATCCCCTCAGGATTTAACCTAAAACCCTGTACCGCAGTTTGTAGATCCTTTGTCAGTGTCAGCTATGTGGATAAGTCACGGCCATTGCTTGACCAATTTGCTCTCTGTGAAAGCCTGAGAGAATGTCTTCTCTCCATGTGACTCTCCTTAGGCGCATTGTACATCATCAATCTCTTTCCTCTGTGGCCCCATAATCTCCTTGATCAGAAAATTTGGGACACAACTGAGTTACAGGATGTTACGGTATAGATTCTCTTATATCCTGAGTCTTCACTGACATTGAATGGTTAGGGTCAAAATGTTGGCTATCCTTACAGCCCTTCTTTTTCTCTAATTTTTGGTCTGCAAACTTAAGTTGTTAACCCTCCAGAAGAGAAGCTTTATGATATTATTACCCTATAACCTAGGCAGTTTAGTGTAACCTCACTATCTGTCTGAATATCAAACATCTTAGACATAACATGGAACAGGTATTTTCCATCAAGTATTGATATGTTAAACTTTAAATCCCTACAGAATGTGAAAAAAAATTTTAAAAATAGGGACAGTAAGATATTTAGGGCAATACCATCTCTGTAAGGAAAGGACTGCTATCTGGCTTCTCACCCCTGGCATCTTGACTTGTGCAGAGCTGTGTGCAGAGTCAGTGGCTGGAGATCAGGAGTCAGCCATCTGCACTCACTGTGGCCGCAGCAGGAGTGTCCAGGATTTCTGGAGTGTTGCCTTAAAACCTTACAGTCTGGGTCAACACACCGCCAGGGCAGCATGCTTCCTGTCCCACATTGAGTGTGACAGTTGGGTCTGCTGAACAGTTTACATTTTATCTGAAGAAGGGGCAAGTAATTTGAGACACCAACTACCACTGTGCTCAGAGTCTTTTTATTTTTTTGTCACGTCACTTTGTTTTGTTGGTGTCAATTGGAGCCATTCTGTTTTTTCTCTTAAAATGATTTGTAGAAGTTAAAATAGTCTGTAGTTTCTCTTGGCTGAGTTTTTAAATGACTGGCTTTAGGTGTAAATCGCTGAGTGAGGAAACATATTTGAACTCTGTGTTTTGCAATGTGAAGCAAACACAGGTTTTCCTTCCAAGTACATACAGGTACTCTTCAAGTGAGGCTTGGAGAGCAAGAGGGCCTGTGGCTGACACATGTGTGAGCTCAATGATGCATGTCATCCAAGACTGAGCTATTTTCAGATTTCTAGTACTGACTACAAGTTGATAAATTGTGTCAAGCATTTCCTGAAATCACGTTTTAGTTCAGTAAGTCATGATGGGAATAGGTGGCTGCTCAACATAGCAACAACGAGACATGACAGGGAAATGATAGGGAATGGGACCAGCAGCAAAACAGAGAGACTGATGCAAGAGCAGGCAGTGGTACCTCCTCATGTGCCCATGAGTCAGCAACACAGGACTGAAGTGATGCGGGTATCCACTTTCAAAGGATATACTGCTCCTCTAGGAAGGCTTCTTTTAAATGTACAGTCCTGTGTCTGAACTCAATAAGTATTTCTTGAATGGGAAAGAGACATGTAATAGAGATGTTTTATAGCAAAAATGTTTTAAAATAAAGGCTAGAGAGATAGCTCATCAGTCTAAGCACTGCCTGGCAAGCACAAGGACCTGAATTCCATCCCTGGTACCACATGCCATGCCAGCACTGTAACCCTGGGCATGGTAGCACACGCTTGTAATCCCAGTACTGGGGAAGCTGAGACAGGAGGATCACTGTGAGTCTGAGCTGCATAGTAAGACCCTGTACCAAATAAATAAATAAACTAGAAAATTTTTTTAAAAGTTTAAAAATAGTTGACCCTAAAAATAAAATAATATAACCTTAAAGGGGTGGGGCCAGTAGAAAATTCACATATCTGAATACTTTATGTATGTTTGTTATATATGAGTTGTTACAGATTTATTCGACCAGGTTTCTCTTATACATAGTGTCAAAGCCAAATGCGTTACTAAGTTGACATTTATTTTCAATTTTTCATGAATGTGGCCCCATATCCCCTGCAGTGTGAACACAACATCATTTCTCCAGGGTCCTGCCCTCTCCTCCAAGCCCAAGTCCAGCAGCCTTCCCTGGCTCCCTTGAAGTCAGGCCCATGCTCTTAACACCAGGACCTGCAGTGATGCATCAGCCTGACACTGCTGAGCCCGGGGCTCCCATGCCTCCAGTTTCATGATCCTTGGCATGAACTCACAGCCCTCCTGGGGTGTGGGCTGCTCACCTAGCTGAAGGACAAGCCTGCAACCTCAGCCTCTCCCTCTAACACCTTTGGCCTTCTGAAACCTGGCTTCTCCTGAGGCTCTTCTGTCTCTCTCAGGAATGGGGGGTGTGAGCTCATGGTCTGTCTTCCATGCCAAGTCTTGACATCAGCCACTTCCTGCTCTGTGGAAATCTCACTCCTTGGTCTGTGCCCACTGCTTTCTCCCTTGTTGTCACCAAGTCTTCCAATCTTTCCTCACTGGCCCTTTTACTTCCCATGGCTTTGTTTTCCTCTAGTTATTTTACTTCAAGCCAAGTTACCCATCAGCCTGTTACACCCTCTGACCCTTAACATGGAGTAGATCTCTGTCTCACCATAACTCACCTCCTCCTGACCCTTCACCCCAACTCATATCAAGGCTACCTGCCCTGATTTATCTTACTTTTAAACAGTTTTCTTAGGATTCAAATGAATATACGTGAATTGAATATATTGAAAATGAGCATTCTGAAGTTTTGACCTAGGTATATAGCCATGATATCACCACTACCCTCAGGATCATGAGCACAGGCTTCAGCCCCAACCCTGAAAGTTTCCCATCCCTGGAAATCCCTCTTGGCTCCCACTCATTGCCCATCTCCAGGCAACTGTTGGGGGTTGTTTGTCACTGCAGACTAGCTGGAAGGTTTTAGAGCCTTACATAATAAGTACAGTCGTGCAATGTGTGCTTTCTTTTGTTTGTTTGGTATCTTACACTTGGTGTAATTATTTGAGATTAATTTGTTTTATATTTTAATAGTTCATTGCTTTGTAAATTTCTAAACTATATATCCTTTTGTATGGTTTTACTGTAATTTTTTTATTCATCTGCTCATTGATAGACATTTGGGTTGTTTTTTGTATTTAGTTATTACAAAAGCTACTGAAAGTGTTGGTGCACAAGTCTTGGTGTGGGTGTATGTTTTTCCATCTCTTAAGGATAGAACAGACTCGTATAAAGGTGATACTGAACCACTTGGTGGTTTTCCAGAATTGTTGTACAGTGTTCTGTTCCCAACTCGGGAGATAGCTTGGCAGTCTAAGTGCTTAACTGGCAAGCACAAACGCCCAAGTTCAATCCCCAGTACTGCATGCCATGCCCGCTCTCAAACTGGGCATCAAGGCACACACCTGTAATCCCAGCACTCGGGAGGCTGAGATAGGAGGATCACTACAAGTCTGGACTGTGTAGCAAGACCCTGTATATATCTATTTAAAAAAAAAAGTCAAAACATGACCACTCTCACATCTGAAAATGAGGAAATGAGAAGCAAAAAAGCAGATTTTGAAAATACTATTAAAGAATTTATTCGCTTTTTTAAAAAAATCTATTTGTTTGGTACAGTGTCTCTCTATGCAGCTTGAACTCTTAGTGATCCAGCTGTCTCAGCCCCCCATTCCAGGGATTATAGGTGTGCACCACCATGCCTGGTCTTGGTGACTGGCTTAGTAGGCCAGGGCCCAGGCCAGCATGGCTTGTGGTGCAGGGGATCAAACCCTAGTTCTTGTGCTTGCCTAGGCAGGCTCTTAGTCCACTGAGCTATCTCACCTGCCCTGATATTCCTGTTCTCAAAGCTACATGGCTGGAGTGTGGCTCAGGGGTAGAGCACTTGCATGGCCGGAGAGAGGCCCTAGTGCCTTACCCTGTTGCTTCCTTTTTGTGGATGGATCTCCTTCAGGTGGCTCCTGTGATGAAGTGAATTCCACTTCCAGAGAGACTTTCTTCACTGCAAGTGGCTGAGCACTAGAGTTTTGCAGTGGTCCTTGTAGTTCGGAGTTCATTTTGGTTGTGCTGTGCCACAGCAGCAGTGTACTGTGCTAGAGGATTCATGCAGAGCCCCAGCCCTACAAATGTGTTCAGCATTGTCACCAGAGAAAAACGCCATCCTGAGAAATTGTAAAATGTTCTTGTAAAAATGTTTTGTAAACAGCAGTTTTCTGTTGCTTTTACCTGTTTTTTTTTTTTTTTTTTTTTTTTTTTTTTTTTTTTTTTTTTTTTTTTTTTTTTTTTTTTT